AATGGCTGACCTGATTTTTGATACACATGTTTTTTTGGCATCGAACGCTTGATAAACAGTAAATAATGCGTTCAGCGACCCACATAGGTAAATAATGTTTCCCGGTTGGTGGCTGATGTCGAAAAGCTGACAGGCGAAACTTTTTAAGCCGAAATCACCGTTCAAATTCATCCGTCAGTCGATAGCCGACACAGCTTTAGAAGGTCGCGAAATCACCGTGGCGAGGCCACATATTTGTGAGAAACCGGAAACATGAGGATGTCGTCGAGCGAAGCGAAATCACTGGCTCTGGAATGCTTCACAGGGAAAACTGTTTACCAAGCGTTTTTCGACACGGAGAACAATGTCTGGCGACAACAGCCACCACGTCTGTAGGTTATCACGATGGTACTCTAGATCATCTTCCATCAGGCCACCGTAAGACTCCAACCTTTCATTGTACCACGGTAATAAATCTCTAAGATCCAAACGATGGCAGTGGGATACACCGTAACACGTTCGATGTTATTCCCAAACCCTATAACAGAACAAGCAGTCACTGAAGAACGAATGTCTTCGAATTTACTACAAAAGGGATCTTCCATCGTGACCCGAAGGGAGAAGCGGCGATGGAAGAAAAAGAGGAAGAAGGAGGAGGAGGTGAAGGTGAAGATTATGATGATAAGGGATGATCCACCCGGATCGCAGATTTGTCGAAAACCTCGTCATTCGGAGAGAACGATAGCGATGAACGTGACTTGTAAGGTCGAGCGCGATCACTGCGACGAGATATACGTCGAAAAAACTATACGAAGATTGAAAAAATGGTTGAAGAACATCTCGTAACTGTGGGCAATGGAAAGATGGAGAATTTTGGCATTGTTCTTCACGCATTTTACGTGATACGCTCCTGTAGTTCGACGAAGTCATTGCTGCTGATATGAGGAGAACAAATCTAAGGTCATTAAGCAGAGGATCGCTACGCGTGTTGGCGAACCATGGCTGACTGTATAGCAAAAGTAACCTCTTAATTAGTTTGAGTGACAGCAGGAGTGTCATCGGCCAGTTTATCCGTCAGAGTTTATGTATCAAACGTTTGTCAGTCAAAACTATACATAATTATTTTCATGACATCGTGCTGTTTTATTTGTGTCCCCTTACCCTTATGGTGACACTGATGTGCGCCGTCGAAATACGTCGTCAACTATAGGAGACTACGCCATCCTTTCGGTATATTGTCTTAAACCATGAATCGGGAACCGAAGGTGGTTTACAGTCATTCAAGCAAGAAACTAGTCGATACCACCTTCACCTTCTATAAGTGTTTAAACACGTTCGAGCAGCAGCAGTTCTTTCTCCCTTTTTTGGCTATTTTCCAACTTTCATGACAACGATTTCGACAACTCCTCATTTCTTTTCGTTTGTATAGTACGTAGAGTTTCCGCCACTTATGGCTTTGTTTATTTCCTGTTGAGAAACACGATTCTTTGGCAGTGCAATCTGAGCTACCAAGAGTAACTTGCGATTTTTCTTATGTTCCGCGATAGACAGTTCCCTCTGCAATGTATGAATAGACGCCATTCACGTAAAACGCAGAATCGCTGAAGACATGCCAAATGATAAATAATGATATAATCGAAACAATGATTTCGAGTAACTTTCGGTGATTGCTGCTCATGGGCACAGCAACTCCGCCATGCCCGCATGAGAAATGAGGAGGATTGCAGACCATGTCGAAGTTTCCGTAAAACTTGGCCACTTCCCCTTCATGGCATTTCCGGCATCGATCATTATATCTGTTCGTTCGTCGTGACGGTTACCAAATGCCTCGCAGCCTGTTGAAGGACTGAGGCACGCAGCGAAAAGTGGGCGACTAGAACCTCATCGTCGCCTTCTGGCAGTCAAGCGAGTTGCCGCACGACAACGACTACCGAAGATCGACCAAACGACGACAATGATACAAATGAGTAACTTAGTCGCTGCCCGTTCTGAACGGAGGAGGCAGGCAGCGCGATGCCACTATAGCACGTCAGAAAAGGCTCCACAAGAATGACACCGCCAGTAGGAGCATACAGTCGGAAAGTGGAACTTATCCTCACTTAGAAGGAAAGAGCAAGAGTTAGTTGGTGAGGACGCAATGTACAAATTCGACATGGACTTTCGTCGAAAAAGCGCTAAAGCTCTGGTATTCCGTACTTCTATGGGTGGAGGCTATTCTACTCAGGTGTCGACATCAGGACGTGCACTCGGGCTGGTGTTGGTGTTCTGGTAGAACCCAACATGGCTGATAGAATCATTCAATGGAAGCCTATCAGCGGAAGAGTGGTAATCCTCTGACTGAAGCAACAGCAGGATAAAGCATTGACCTTGTTACAGGTCTATGCGCCCAATACAGAAGGGGAATATGATTCTTTCGCTGAGGGAATGCAGTGTGCCCTGTACGAAGTACCGACTGCTGAGTCCCTCATTGCAATGTGCGTTTTTAATGCGAATATCGGACCAGACGCTGGCAAGTGGAAAGGCGTGACTTGAAAGAACTACCGTAGCGACCTCAACAACAGCAGCATGAAGTAGATGAGGTTTTGTGTTAACAACAGTCTGTTTATTATCAGCACCTTGAAGCGTAAAAGTGTGCATCAGCATAAATGGTACAGGGAAGTTTGTACACAGAAGCCAATGATCGATTTGATAGTCGTAATAACTAACGTACGACACTCTGAAATGGATGTTCGCATTACAAGAAGCGCACAGTTATGATGTGGAAACCACTGATGAATGGAGGCTCTTTAACGGCGACATACTCGGGGCTGTCGCCAAATGTTGCGGATTCAAACGGGTTGGTATGCCGCCTGGACGTCAGAGAAGAACTTCCTGATGGACATAATAGGTCAATTGGTAGTTAAAGAGAAGAAGGATGCATTCAAGAAATGACTTGGAAGCAAAGAGCCTACAACTCGCATCTTGCCTGCATGTCGAAGAGCGCAAGACGGCAGCGAAAGTAGAGGCGGGAGCCAAGGCTATTTCCTGGGGAGAAGTTCGGTGAGGTGTTGGAGTCGAATTTTCAGAAGACAAACAAGGTATTCTGGCAGACCATCCGCCGACGGCGAGGTGAAAAGAAGAACACTTTAAGACTCCTGAAGGACAAGTCTGGTTACCCTCGTACGGAGGATCAGGATATTCTTCTGCAATGGAGAAGGTA